AGCAGGAATTAAGCTCTGCTCAGGGTTAGTCCCTTCCTTAACAGAGTTGAGAGCACTGTGTTCTGTGTTGTAAAGTCAGTGGCAATGCTGTAGTACTTTCCAGTGCAGAAAGGAACAGTGTTAGTTTGTATCATGCTGCAGGAGTTCCCGCAGCACCAAGCACCATAAAACCAAAGAGGAAAATGACAAATTCTAGAGAAAAACCAGATTATTTTTTCCCTAATGTTTGTTTTTAAACATGTTTCAATATTTTCTTGGCAGCTCATCGCTTAAGATTGCATTGCTTTTAAGACTATTCATAAACTGATCACAGTCAGAAATGTGACTGGACCTGGGTTTTATACTTAATTGCTCCTTCTGTTGGAATGAGTCCTAAATGGAAGCTGTGCTACTTCGAGGTGAAACATCTCCTACCCTTGGAGTGCTAGAGCAGAAGAGCCTTTGGAAGCAGGAAAATTAAGTACTCCAGAAAGCTAGTGTCTCTTCCCCATGTTCTTGGTAGTATCGTTTTATATGGGAAATGGGAGAGGATATTTATACCACTCATCAGAGTTGATTTAACATCCAGCAGATGCAGTAATGGGCTTTTTTTTTTCTTAATTTTTTTTTGACGTGTAATCTCTTGCTTGAAACGTAAATCAGGACTGTTCAGACATCATTTATTCGTAATCATCCCCTGCTTGCTCCTTCCGCTTGTGCTGTTACGTTTCTTTTGGCTCGTGTTATGTGTGGAGTCCGATCCACAGGCACTTTGAGTCAGGCTTTGAAACCAGCTTGCCTGGACATCACTCTGATAGCTGTGATTTTAGATTATCTGTCAGTTGGCGTTACCATCTTTTGCATTGAAGCAGGATCACATCTCTGTGGTTTCTAAGACTGTTTTAATTGTTCTTGCAGGAATGGAATAACAAACTGCCGGATGCGGACGGAAAGCGAGCAGTCCTGTGGCTCTCCAGTTGTCAGCGGTGACCCGAAGGAGGACCACAACTACAGCAGTGCCAAATCTTCCAACCACAGGAGCACATCACCTGCCAGTGACTCCATTTCCTCTTCCTCTGCTGATGACCAGTATGAGTTTGCAACTAAAGGTAGCCAAGACAGCAGTGAAGGAAGTGAAGTGAGCTTCCAGAGCCACGAGAGCCATAGTGAAACAGAAGAGGAGGACAAAAAGCAAAGTCGGAAGGAGACCAAGGATCCTTTAGCGGACAGTGGGTACGCGTGTCAGCACAAGAAAAGGCAACATTTAATGAAGGCGAGAAAAGTACCGAGTGACACACTGCCTCTTAAAAAGAGACGTACAGAAAAGCCCCCTGAGAGTGATGATGAGGAGATGAAAGAAGCAGCAGGATCGCTCCTACATTTAGCAGGAATTCGATCCTGTTTGAACAACATCACCAATCGGACGGCAAAGGGGCAGAAAGATCAAAAGGAAACCACAAAAAATTAGAACAAATCAATGATTTGTTTGAACTTAAAAAGTTTTGTTTCAGCACGTCAGGTGAATTCTAATGATTTGTGGCAATATCAGCAATTTTTTCCTTTTTTGTTTTTCCTTCTATTTTATTTCTATTTGGTTTTGGTTTGTTTCTTTTTGTTTTCTTTTTTTTTGAACCCTTAAGATTTTTTATTTTTAAAGGAGATTGAAGCCATAGAACTCATAGTGACACTCAGCTAATTTACAAAAGCTTTTCATTACCCGAAGACAAAAAGTTAACAAAAAAGCCAAAATTGCCATTGCTTTTTCCGGCTTGTCAAAAATGCATGGTTGAATACACAGTGACATCAGCATTGATGTGATGGGAGTAAGATTGGGCACTTGGAAATCCCTCTTATACTAGAAGAGCTGTGCATAATTTAGTGATCATTCAGGCGTGGCCCTTAAGAATTTAATGGCCTTATGATTGGGTTAGAAGTGAATGTGAATAAAGAGATTTTGGGGCACGAGGAGGCACGTACTTCTCAAAAACAACCCAGGAAGCATCTAGTGGCACTTGGATGCGTTGTGCCGTAGAAGTCTCTGGACAGCCACTAGTGGCAACTGCGCAAACCCTCATGCACTTTCAGTGCTTCACGTACTACATGTGGCTCCTAATGTGAAGACTGGTAACTTCAGCTCTGTATGCAATGGGTTTCAGTGAAATAGCAAGAAGAAATGGGAGGGGTGGGTCACTGTTTAGTAGCATTGTTAATCATTGAATCTGTCTTCTATAGTAAATTAAAAGAATGTTCAAAAAGCCATAAGCCCGAGGATTGGCACTGCGTGCAAAAAATGATAGTCATAGGGAAAAAGAAGCTATGTCTCTTAAACTGCCTGAGTGAAAAGCAATCAAGTCAAAGAAATTACAGTAGACATTAAGGAAAGAAATACATCAGAATCTTTTTCTGTGGATCAAATCCTTGATCTAACTGGGGAAACAAAGCTACAGCACCTGCCAGTAGTAGTAGTATTCGGTATTTCAAAATACAAGGAAAGCGTATTGGTGAACAGTAAAAGTCAGAAGTTCAACAAAAGAGCTCTTAACACTGCCCTCAGAAACGAGTGCGCAGGCACCGTCAGTCAGGATTCATCTGTGCAAAAATGACCACAGATTTCCAGATTCAACCAGCGTAGCCAGCGAAAGAAATTTGATCCACATTGCATGGATTCCTTTTGGGAGGGGGGAATACAAAAAAGCAAACAATTTTTTTTATTCAAAGATGACAAAGTTCTTGTAAGGTAAATAATGTATTTAGCATGAAGCATGAATTATTTTCATATAAATATAGAAAATAGAGAAAAAGGCTATGCCTCTAATTTTTAAGCCCTTAGGCTTAGAGTTTCTTTTTTTGGGTTTGTTTTGTTGTTTGTTGGGGTTTTTTTTGTTTTGTTGGTTTTTTTCGTTTGTTCTGTTTTGGTTTTGGTTTGGTTCTTTTTTTGTTGTTTGGGTTTTTTTGAAGCAGGTGTTTAAGGTTTAACCTTCTTCAGGGACAAACACTGACTGTTTGGGAACTTACTCTGCAATATTAAAAAAATAAAATCTTCATGCTCTGGTAGGGCTTGGATGGTTGAATTATACTGCCTTTCTGCACATTCAGCCCCCCTCTCCCTACTTACGTTTAAAAAAAAAAAAGTGAAAGTGTGTCCTTTCTTCGTCTGTACATGTGTAACATGACGCAATAATCTGAGGGCAAATTTAGTAGTGAGTGTGTATGACAGAATCAAGAAAATAATGGGAGGTTAATTGAGGAAAACTCTCTGATTTGATTCAGGAATAAATAGACAAGAAAATAGCTTTGCTAATTTACCATGAGAAAATGAAGTAAAGAGCCTTACTGAGGTGTCCAGATTAAAAACAGTGTTATAGAGAGTGTAATTCAGGTATAGTGCTACTCTCCTGGTAATGATGACTATCTGATCAGAGATCCCTACAGCAGAGGGAAGCTGTGAAATAAATTGCAGTCTCTCTCACCTGGATTCATGAATTCAGCATGAAAAGTTCTACACTTAAAATATCCTAGAGTCAAGAAGAAAATCCCAAGAACCAATCACTAAATACAATTAAATGATCTGTTCCTTAAAAAGAATATAGGTTTATATTTATCCCTAACAGCTGTTTCAGGCAGCAGATGGATCTAGTTTGTGAAGAGTGAGTTAGAGAAGGGTTTGACTTCCCACTCAGTGGGGTGGACTAAAAATTGCATTTGGAGATGCCAGTGGTGTGCGTTCAATTAGGAGCTGGAAGGACTGATGGGTGGGCTGGTCAGGACCTGTTCCTGTGCTCGGCAAGCACTTTGTCATGTAAAGGACGGGGCCACACTGGCAGCAGCATGGCCAAGTGACGCCTTTCCTGCCATCTGACCCAGTGTGTCCTGGGATCCAGGAGCTGCCTGACAGCTGTCGAGCACAGCACAACTGAGCCCAGCTATGGAGAGAGGGAAGGAGAGAGCCAAGGATAGTGCAAGGATAGTGCACTCCCTTCAGTTTGCTGGGGCAAATACAGGTGGGGTTGGTTCCCAGTAGTTAAGTCAAGAATACAAGGATACTACCTCTTGTTGTTTGCCTGTAGCCCTCAAGATAAAGTGGGGGAAACAGGAAGAACCAGTCCCATGGCCAGGTAGCTCAGAGATGACTAAGCCATAGGTTTTCCCTCGTGTGATTGGACTCGGATAATTGGCTTCTTCCCAGATCCACACTCCCTACAGCCAGTCTGCAGGCACAGTCTGAACCACACAACCCCTGCACAAGAAAATGTAATCTTTCATTTTTTATGGACTTTGGGAAGAGCCATTTGAAATACAAAATACTACAGTGTCAGTTCACCACCACCTTTTCTCATTAATGCATAGTTGTACCAACTCAGAAGTGGTTTAGTACTTACCAAAAAACACTCAAAAGTCAAATTTAGTGGCAGAAAATACACTCAAACCATGGCTCAGCCATCTCTGTCCTCCAGAAAAAGCAATGTGTTTGTGTGTCGGTGGCCAGATTCTGTCCACAGTCAGAACACTAATTCCAGAGCAGCTTCACTGACTGCAGTGTTTCAGTGCAAATGAGATCAGTGTCTGCTGAACAAGTACCATTTATTAATGTGGACTCTTGGTGGCTAAATATATAATTACCATTAGTATTACCTTAGAAAAAAGTCTTTTTACGTAAATATCTAATCAGGCATGTTATCTTTACATATATATATAGATATATATATACACACACACATATACTTGCTGGTAAACTTAAAATGTTGGCAAGCATCTATTTACATGTAAAATTTGTTGCTCCTAGTCTGATCTACTAAGGAGGTATAATTTGGTAGGAATTTACAATGTTCAGGAACCAGCAGTTTGGCTGAGGGCTGGTGCCACCACCAGAGTATTTCTAACATTTAAAAACAGCTGGTCCTTATTGACCCTAACTCTGACTATGGACGAGAAGTACATAATTTGGATTCATATAAAATGTTTAGGAATCACCTTTTAACCATTTTTGTGCCTGGCTGACAATGACAGCTTTGTCAGAACTGGTTCTATTCCATCAGAGAAGTTCTCTTTTTTAGTAAGAACTGAGACGGATTTGTTTTCCAAAAAAAAAATACTGTCAGCTTTTCAATCCAGTTGTTCCTACTTTGACTGACTCATGCCAAAACAGAGTGGTAAATGCACTGTATTATGAACTCTCTCACTTGCCAGATGTGAGATGGTTTGGTTTTGCTTGTTTGGTTTCCTAACTAAGCCATTTTGGGGTGAGAAGTCATCAGATCTCTAACTTTCCATTTTCCTCACTTTATCAGAATTGCCAAATTAGCAATCAGTTTCTCCAAGACAGGTAGGGACTTGGGGAGTCCCAGTAGGTCAGCAAGCATTGAGTTGTAAGTTTCACATGGGCATGAACTGTAAGAGTTGCTGGACTTCCTGGTGGATTCCTTTGGAATATGCCTTCTGCAGCAAGAAGCTCTTGCAGGCCAGAGCTGATGCCACAAGCAGATTTCACCGGTGTCTGCAGGGAGGTGAAGTCTGCTGGTCGTGCTTGTGTTCTGCAAGCAATTGAATGTCCGACTGCATTTTGATGCAGATTTTGCCTGCATTTAAAACTCAAGTGCAGGTCTTGAACAGCTTTCATGGATCACCCCATAGCTGTTTCTGAAAGCAGGCTGATTCTTTTCATTTTCCTGGCAAAACCAGCAGTAGTTCTACTGAGATCATGGGCTTTTACAGCTGAAAAACCTGATGTGGGAATAAGGAGGTGTACCATGTAGGACTAGAGAACTGTCCTGTGACTCTGTTCTCTTCTTTCTGGCAATTCAGTTGAAATCCATATTCTGGCTCCTCTGTTACCTTAATGGGAGAAGGGAATCCCGAAGGAAGTGCATCAGCTCCCAATGTTCAAATGAATCACTGTCTACTTTTGGTAAAGATACAGAGAAACTCTGGGGGCTGCATTCTTCACTGGAGTGAGGTAGAGTTACATCATACTTCAGCAGCACATTAAATCCTAAATTATACACCAGTAAATAAAATGAGCAAAATAACATTTCGTCCCATTTTCTTGGTAGCTGCAATTGATTTTCACTGAGGTTTTGGCTCCCAAATCATCTAAAGAAGTAGATAGGCACAACCTGAGGTATTCTACAACTGAAAGGTGCCTGATCTCCTTTGCAGTCAGCAGAGCTACACATACTCAAGTTCTCCTGGAAATCTTTACCCTTCCACTAGAATTATTGTTATTGGCATTTTTCCTTCAATCTGGCCCTAGGCTTTTTTAAAACATGACTCACCTCTGCTCTGGGGTCAGAATGCAACTATCAGGAGAGTGCATTTCTAGCTTCAGATCCATTGCAGTTTACTTCACTTCATGGAGAATGCAAACCCTGCTCCTTCAGGTATGTCACTACTGCCTGAGTAGCTCATTGGCATATTTTGTAGGAAATATTTTGAAACTTTTTCTTGACTTTGCCACCAAAAGAGCATTTG